TCATGTTCTACATAACTATCATCCCAATCAGGATCAGGATAATTATCATCTTCTTGTTGGACAACGCGTGGCCGTGACTTCGGCCGAACAGGTTTAATCTGTTGTCTATAGACCGGTGGTTTACGAACTGGCTTAGATGCTTGTAATTGTTTAAATTGTGCCTGGAAATTCTTGGTAAGTTCCTCGGCTTGTGCCTTGAGCAATTCTTGTAATCGTTCTTGAGTAATAACGTCTGTTGACCTTTGTATTACAGCACCTTCGTGTGGAGTCACGGGATGAGTATAGCCAGCCAATTCCTCTTTTTTAGCCTTTTCAATATCCTGGCGCCTTTGTAATCCATAGAACATTTCACCCTTTCATCGTTCAAGATCACTCAATCTATCGATTAATATATTAAGAGGTGCCGCCCCGATTCTAGAAGCTTCAATAACATTTTCCGGCAAAAGTCCTCTATAGAACTGGTCAGTAACCATAATTTGATTATATCCTACAATATCCCCAGCCCTTTCAACTCGCTTATAGTAAGATCAAACAGGTTCGCCTTGTTCCTGGTAAAGGTTACTAAATCGTATCTGAAGTCTTTCTTCCACGACGGTTGGAAAATTTGTGCGCATATGCATAAATGCTTGATCCAGGAGAATCCCCTGTAAGACTATCGGTTGATTCTGGACAGCAGCATTAAATGGACCTCCATGATTTCCCAACCCATTAACGGGTTGATGAGTAGGACGTCCGCCTGCACGCCTTTACCGCTCTTCAACTTTAAAATTCGTTCTAACGATATCAGCACGTGACGGGAAAAATGCATCTCCCAACGGTTATCGCCGCATTAACTGTAACCCTTGAATATGCATCAGCATCAGACCCGGGTAAGTAAGTACCAACATGTAATCCATTAGCAGCCTCAGGAACAGCCAAAGCTCTGAATGCTCGGCGAGTGGCACCGGCTCCACCATTTGCAGCAGCCACTAACCGAATATTCGAGAGTTCCCAATTTTTTCCAGTAAGTTCTGCATCAAACTACCTCACCGCTTCATCTTTCATACAGCTACGAAGAACCCCATCGCTCTCACCCGACCAGGAGGCACACCGGCATCATCCAATGGATCAATACCAACGGTATTAATATACCCTAAAAAGTTATCAATAAAAAGATTAAGATCTTCATCTTCCCAACCATGAAATATGGGGGCAGCTATACCAACGGCAGCCATATCGTATTTTGTGGATGGTTGAGAGGAGGTGGAGGATGGTTCAATTGTCTTTTTCTAAACCATTGTACTTGGATACGCAGAGCGGCTATTTGTTGGAAAAGTCGATTTCTAAGACGTCCCAATGTCCGAATTCCAAAAAGAACCCGACTGTTAGCATATACAAGCCGATTTCATGCAACATCACGCTCGCCTAAAGCTCTATTACGTTCACCTATAGCTCTATTACGTTCACCTCTCATAAGATTATATTGCTGCTGAAGATGGCGATTAGTCGTCCGCATACCACCAAACTTATGTTCCAATTCAGCCAAATTAGCTTCTAAACCAGTAATAGTATCTTGTACGATATTTAGCTCATCTTGTGTAAGACCTAACAAACCTGTTTGAACCTCGAGTTCGTCTTGTAATTCATCGCGTTCTTTCGAGATCGATCGCATTCCGCTTTTAATATATCGTGTTCTTCATATGTTTCTCTACAGCGATGAATTAATAAATTAAGAGCATGTTTGAGACGATGGTTTGCATTTTGTACATCTCGATTAATGACCATGCGATCACTGACAGTTAAAAAATCTGTTAGATCCTTAATTACCGCAACTAATGGTATATTATTCATATCACGCAAATCTCTAGGAGGCGGTCCAGTAGGCTCTGAAGGAGTATAAATTGCAATTGGTGTCGATGTCGACATCGTATTTAAACTAAGTTAGAATAAAATTCAAATGGATCTTTATGTATACAATTTGGACGAGTACACGACCGACTCGAGACAGGGTAATGAGTTTGCCCCATCATGGCCTTTCCGTCTTGCCGTAGCAGGAAGTTCTGACTCGGGTAAGACAACTATGATCATTAATTTATTAATGGGAGACAAGAAGGCAAAGGAGGATGGTGAAAGGTACATATTATGTGATGCGGTAATTCTAGTTGGCAGATACCTTGATGAACCGAAGTGGGCAGTCGTACGTGATTTTTTCAAAGAAGAATAAATTCCGTTTACCGCAGTATCCCATAGTGAGATTCCAAATGTTAAGGACTTCAACTCCACCCAGGCTACTGTGGTAATCTTCGAGGATTTGATGGATGCGCCTAAAAAAATCCAGGATCTCATCACTGGATTTTTTACACATGGATGACACAAAAATATTTCATGTATCTATGTGGCCCAAAGATTCTTTACCATTCCCAAGGCTATTCGTGAAAATGTGAATTATATTTCTCTACATGGAGGTCACGGGAGTTTGACCGATACTAAGAGGATCATCCGCCAGTATACAGAAGAATCAGAGTCACTTGCTCCAGTAATCGATGACCTTACTCTGCAACGCAAATTTATAGTATTTGATCTTAGAAGATTTAAGAGCGATCCGTTATCCATTCGGGTTAGATGGGATACTAGTCTCAGTTCGATCACCAATCAATCTCAGTTCGATCCTAGTTCGATCTCAGTTCAATCCCCGTTCGATCTGAGTTTGAATCCAGTTCGATCTCAGTTCGATCTGAGTTTGAACCCAGTTCGATTCCCGTTCGATCCGAGTTTGAACCCAGTTCGATTGAAGTTTAGTCCTTATGGCCAGAAGGCCGTAGCTGAAGCAAAAAAGTCCTCCCAGCTAATCGAGTTTGCTCGGGAATATCCATCGCCTAAAGAGAGAAAACACCTCCTCGTATCTGGTGTTATAGCTAAGAACGCAGATACCTGGATTAAGTACGTCTTTCGGGAAGCCTACGGACTATCTGGTAAGACCCTGGGATCAGACTTCCAAAACTTCTTAGCGAAAGTACGGGATAGGACCACGAAGACTGAAATTCCAAAACCTGAGACCGTAAAGGAGTTATTCTCTCGATATGAAGTCCTGAAGTCTAGTCACCCTTTGGATAATAAAAAAATAATAGAAGTCATTGGGGTTCTTTTACAGATCTTTTCTAAGGGTCATATGGACCGTCTAGCATTACGAGTAGGGATCAATAGTATTTTGTAAGAATCTGGTTGCTTTAGCAACCCATCTCGCGAAGTTCTTCCGCAGAAGCCCTAAGAATCATGGCGCTTTTTTTACGTCCTTCGAAGTCAATCCGTAGCATCCTAGCTTTTAACCCAATAGCTCCTAAGGCTCGAGAAGCAAAGTTCTTAGTTATCGGATTTCTTACATGACTTACATAGTTCTCATAGAATGTAGTAAAGGATTCGTCAATACCATCCGGGTATGTATTCCGTAAGAACTGATATAAGGCAATTTCCCCACTGTCACATCCAATGGCTATAAGCTGTTCAAGAAGCCACTTTCTAGTATCCTCGTATGAATCTCCGTCCATAATTTTTATATCTAGTCTTTGTGTGAATAATTGCGTAAAATCCGCATTACTTGCCCGACGGATAATCTGGACCAACTTATCCCTGGCAAGTCCCAAGGCTTGTAAAGGTTCATCCTCATCACTAATCTTCTTTATAATCTGTCTATACAACACGCTGGATAATCCTCTATATGCCATTTTCGCAGAGAATACTCCACAGTTCTGACACTGGTTTATTACGATTGATGTTGACATGGCTATCTTTCTTTGATTATTTGCTCACTTAGTATCCTTCACAATCTTTTTTATATATTGTTATCTTTAAATACCTGTCATTTGTAGAAAAAAAAAAATAATGGCATTAAGGGATCGACCGTTGGAAAGACCGGAGGACCAGAGGACCGGAGGACTGACCATTAGGAAGCGCAGTCCTTGCACAACTTGTCCGTTAAGTCACTTGGGCTTACAGGCATGAGACATTCCCTACACAACTCAATATTAAGCTCTGCAAGTCTCGGGGCATGGTCCTCCAAAGTTCGTGGACGACCGGAAGGACCAGAGGAAGGTGCCCCGTTAGTCGTATCTTGCTGTAAGATAAAATCATCATATTCATCTTGGTCAGCCTGAATAGCGGCCCTGATTTGTTATATATCATTGAAAGTTAACCGCTGGCCATCAAGATTTTCCTCATTATAGCATGTTTCATTGATGATTTCCTCTATAAGCTCCTCCTCTTCATAACGAACAAGGTAGTAGTCCTCAACTACCTCGTAGTCACTCTCAACCAGTCTATGATACTTTCTAGTACCGTGTTGAATATAGCGTCCTGTATCTGTATTTAAATATACAGGTTGTTCCTGGGGTGGAGGCGGTACGGTTTGTCTACGGACAAGCCTTCCATCGATATAATCATGGGATTCCATAACTATTCGATTAAAGGTATCTCCACCAACACGGATTGGACGTCCGGTTATAGGATTAGTTATATAAGGGTATGACATGTCTTTTTTCTGTACGTGTCTACATACCTAATTGTTATCTTCAATTTACAATAACCAAGTGACATCGTCATCAGTCCTTGTCAAAAAATGCGAGGATGCCTGATGATGAGGTTACATGGTCATCAGTCCTTGTCGCAAAACACGAGGATACCTGATGAATAAGTTATTGGATTATTGGCCTAAAAAGCATTCATGGAAAAACTATGGATTATATTACAGAAAATGTGAACGGAGTTCATGTCACGTGATACCCTGAACAAATGTGTAGAGTGTCACGTGATTTCATGCGGTACGTAGATCATTTCCTTTTTGGGCGATACCCGTTCCACAAAAAATCGAATTTGGTAAAAATGCGTTTGGAACCTTGTGTAACATAAATTTCCTTTTTCGGTAATTCGGGATTACGCGGTAATGCCGGCCGGATCTAAAAAATATGACTCTGCAGGGTAATTCCTACGAAAGTCAAGTACAAAATGCTTACTCCTGTTGAGTCCATTCATACCACTCCCAGTCCCCAAGGATCGCCTCCCCATCTTTGTTCACTTAATGCATACTCTATGGTTTCCCTCTCTTGGGGGTCCACGACCATCCCATTCCTAAGCATTTTCTCCATAATATAAAGCTGATCCTCGGTGAGGCGGTTTATCCATCTTTTATAGAGGTCGTTTACATCTTCAAACGTTATCCAGTCAATTTCCCTCTTTATATAATGCTTTCCGAGAGCTCGGATTTCACAGTACACATCCCCGATCGTAGTGGCATAATTTTTCCACCTCTTATATGCCTCTCGACGAACTTCCTGCCACCACACTCTATCTACCTTACTCGCTGCAATAAGGTCAGTATCCGGGATCTTTGCGACAATGCGTTCGACTATTTCTACTGGTAATCGGTCCAACATGATGTTATGTTATTTATACTATAGCTATCTTCAATTACTGTATGCCTATTACACATGGATAAAAAATATAGACTAAATTCGTATAGTATCGTAGGACCACAGGAGCCGCTTATGCAAGAAGTTCTGTTAAGGTTTTCTCAGCCTCGTTTTTAGTAATAGCTCGCTTTGGGGGACCGGTTGATGAGTCCTTAGTCTCATTATAATACAATTCGAAGAAGGCCTCAAGCTTATCTAGGAGAGCTTGTTTATTCTTGTATGATTCGCAGATTTTTGCTATCTTAGCAGTATATGCCGCATTATCTGGGAAGAGTTTTCTGGCCACGAACTTCACATATGATACAGGAGAATTTGCCATTTGGATTCGCTTGATATACTTCACGTGGTCCTGGACGAGGTAACTGGTTTTGCTAAACCCAGATACTAATGCGATTACTATAGTATCTTTTAATGCGCGGATAATCTTGGGGACAGTTTCGTCAGAGACAACATTAGGCTGAATGCGCGATGCCTCGTAAATAACCTTCTCACTAGTGCTGTCAGTGCTGTTAACAATGCTTGCGAATTCGGTATATGTCGACATGATTCTTTGTACTTTATAATAAATATGAATCTTCAGTTACCTGTTCATTAGAATGAGAAAAAATAAATATGAATCTCGGGGTTTACACTTGGGATACTGCAAGGCAGTAGAAGCGTTGCTTGGCCTTTTGTATCAATGGAGAGCCTGGTCTATACAACCAGGGGATAGCGACTTTCTGGATAATCCTAGCCGCTTTATTGTTCCTTTTTTCTATATATCTCCTAAAGGCTTTCTGGATCATTTCAGCATGATGAGTATAATAGTCGAAATTAAAATGCTTTGGGCAACTATATAAATGTAGTCGTACTGCTTGATCCATGGAAGCTTCTGCTTCCCATCCGCGATCAATAAAAGATTTACAGTAGGTACAGTACCACCTATTTGGTAGTCGTGATACTATTCTCCTAATGTGCACAATATAAGCATATACATCTTGATGAGACCTTGGATAAGGTGGCCGCTTATGAAAACCTATTCTACTACAAGTCTCATAATATTGCACAGCATTCTGAATGCCTAGCCCACGTGTGGAAACTTTCGTCGTCTTGTCTACCTAATCCGTCGGTGTTTTGCATTTGGGTATCTCGTAAGATTGCATGTTCTATAGGTTTATTCAATTATGCCATCACGGTATGTCAGTAAAAAATATACATACCGGTCCCTAGCAATCATGTCCAGATAACCTTGTTCGCATTTTTCACATGGCAGTATCCCGCGGTTTCAAACTTGAAAGTCTTTAGAGTCGTATCTGCATTCTCTGAACAAGTGAAAAGCGCGGGGCTATCTGGCTGTTCTTCTAAAATAAATCCATCTGTATGGATACGTCGTACTTTATCCTTGTATGGTTGAATTGCCTCAGATGTGATTTTGCGACCACGTGCTAATAAGAATGGGGCGATCCTGGGATACTCACCTTTGAAGGGATTACCCGGGTTTGTAAACTGGAATCGCCACTGGTCAGATCCTACTGGTATGATAGAGTCGAGTGTATGGCCCTCTGGAAATGTAAATGGGTCTGTTTGATCTGTGGTGAGTGTCTTGTAATTACGCTTCCTCTGGCATAATGCTCCCCATAATGTGTTGAGGACTCGCTTTGCCACGCGGCCAGCTACGCCACCCTGGTTTTTAATTTTGAAGAGGAAGTTTACATACTCACCGAATATTACAGTTCCAGGAATTCTCGCTTCTCTATCATATATCAATGCATTTGGCTTCCCATCCTGTATTAACTGTATATTGAGACCAAGTTTTTTTGCTCGTTGTAAGTCGATGAATGTATAGATTCCCCTTTTATTCTGTCGGAAGAGAATATTATTCCCACTTACCTTAGCACGGAATAATCCATACAAGGCATAACCCCTGTGGTCAACAAAGTCATTAAGTGTCTGGAATTTACCCCATCTGATTGGAAAGTTCGCGTTTGATTGTTGGATACTCGGGTATAAACTTGTTGCGTCGTACTGTCTTTCATAGCCCTTCCACTCGTTATCTGCCCAGATTAATCCTCCCATCATTGCATCACTTAACCACTCTGCTTCTATCGGGTCAAGAGGATCATTGGCTGGAATCCCTACACTTAATCTTTCTAATAACCAGATAGCCGTTCTTTTGTAAGACCAGTTATGGTATGATAAGTCAATTCCTAAACTGAACTTCTTTGTAGTCTGTAAGAAGACATCCTGCTCCTCGTGGATTCTCTGATATGCTTCTTCAAGAGTTTCATATATTCCCGTTTTACGGTTTTTCTCAACAGAGATAAAGGAACTCTTGGAATTCTTAGTTTTTTGAAACTGCCCAATTGTACAAGACTTAACTGTTTTGCCGTTGTATATTGTGACTACATTATTGGTCCCATCTTTATGGTATACAATGGGTAAATTACGCTTTCTATCTATTTTACTGGGGTGGAGTCTTCCGGGATTTAACGCGAGGGAGTAATGGCCTTCTAATAGGATGAGTGTTACACGTCTATCAGACTTACTCTTAGAGATTCGGGTAATGTCCCCCACAATATTAATTGCGAGACTTCCTGTGAGTTGTTCTACCTTGTCCATGCATGAAACTGGGATGTTAGCATCTTGATTGAGACCTAATGCCTTTTTGATATACTCGGGCTTTTCGATTGACTTTGGCATTTTAGAGAATGTGCCGTAGATATATTTCAGGCATTCATACAGGCAATCATTTAGCTCCCCGTTGCAACCCCCTGCAACCGGTGAGGCATCTCTCACATAAATTATGAATCGTTCAAAATAATCAGGGTCTGCGTCATCCGTTAGTTGTGCTTCGTCGTAGTGGTCTAAGAGTGAGAAGAGGCTGGCTGGTTGGTTTCCTGATGTCCATCCACCGGGTTTCCAGTTTTCATAGGGAAGTAGAATCTGGAACTTTCTATCTGGAAATCTTGCCTGGAGAGTCTGACCGAGTCTGGTGATAGCTCCTCTGGAAAAGCGGGCACCTGAATACTGAAGTTCCTTTATTTCAGGTCGTGTTGGTATAGTGCGGGCGATTCTTGAGTATTGCATTTTTATGTATATGATTTGTCTTCAACTATAAATAATATCTTTCTATATATATACGAAAAAAAAAGAAATAATCTCAAATAGCGCTTACAATATGTCGTTGATAGCGCCCTCAGTATCCTCTTCGTCCCAGTCATCGATGATTCCATTGGCAGCCTCTCATTCACGTTCCATATCGGTTTTTGGATGTTCCTCGGGGATCTCTCGTGCTTTTCCCTTATCTGCCCTCATAGTTTCATACCCAGAGGGGTGGGAATAATCTCGGCATTACGATTCTCCTTGTATGCTCTTATTAAATCTGCGAGTTCTTTACGGCTAGGTGTTTTAAGTAAGTTCCCATTATATTCGATCCAGTCCTTGAAGTGGTCTACTACCTCCCTAAAGTAGTACTGGTACTTGTCCTCAATACGTGTTGTGGGACATTACTCTACTTCAAACGCAAGTATTTCCCAGTCATAGTCGTCTGACACGTCTTGGTACTTAGCCCATAAATCCTTACCTGTATTGTAGAGATCATTGAAGACCTGGTCCTTTGAATTCTTGACCTATGGCTTACGATCCCATCTGTGCCTTTCATGCCAAGCCCAGTGTGCTCGAGTACCTTCCTTTGGTTCAAGGTCCCAGTCGACTTCTGGTTCTGTATCAGGTTCTGGGATAGGTTGCTCAGAAGCCGGTACTACTACAGGTTCTGTAGAAGATTTGGAATCTGCGAGGGATTCGGATTTTGCAGAAGATTCTGCAGATGACTCGGGTTGTTTCTCAAGAACTGGGTCCACGGTTGTAGAATCTGAGTCTGATAACAAGTCGTCTAAGACATCGTAGTCATCTGGCTCGGGGGCTGACAGTTTTTTAGGAACTGGGTCTGCGGTTGTAAAATTCGAGTCTGATAACAAGTCGTCTAAGACGTTGTAGTTATTTGGCTCGGGGGTAGCCAGTTTTTCCTCGGCGGGTTTTTCTTGTACGTCTTGTGAATTGTTAGCTGGATTATATATATTTGCCAAGAACTTCTCTAAGGCTTTGGGATCAGATGCGGGTTTTTTAGGAGTTTCTGTATCGATCCCTTCTATGTCTATCTCGTCTGTTTCATGAATCCAGTTTTTGCCGAGGTATTTCTTGTAAAGATCCTCCCTGGATATGCTATATACTCGTGGTGTTTTTCCACCCTTGCGTACTACTTTGCTATTTATACCCAACTCATTTGATAGAATTCTAGAAGCATTTATCTTTGATAGGGGTGAAATGTAATGAGTTTCGCAATATGAAGTATATACCCTATAAAATTCTTGAACAGATAGGTCAGTCATATAATTTTTCACTACGAGGTATGTGTCCTTTATAAATTGGAATAACGGTGGAAGTGTTGAAATGATATGTTCCTGTTTGGATGTTGTCATGGGTGGCGGATTTTCATTGAAGTCCGGGTAAGTGTCCGCGATGGCTCTCAAGTAAGCATAGAATGCTTCACTAGCGCCTAGGTATTTCATAGCGTCACCGAGTTTTTTGAAGTAGTTGAGGTCTCCCTTGCGGGATGGTGACACATCTAAGAACACTGTGCGCCTATCGTCATTCTCCACTCTGAGAGCATTTTCGTTGGTTAGGACAATGGTGGACATAAAGTTCTTGTAATGTGTTGGCATCTTGTATTTTTCATGGATTTCTATTATGTCACTCGTTACCTTATCCTTTAAAGAGCGATACAGATTATTCCACTGGCTTTTTTCCGTGGGCATTTCCTCGAGAAGAAGAAGAACCTTACCCTGTAATTGCCCATTGAAACTTTCAAGAATCGTCTGAGGATCGCTGGTCTTATAAACAAGTTGAGTGCCTAGGACGCTGCGCTGAATGAAATCTGTTATAATACCTTTGCCCCAACCCTGTCCAGATTTTAGGTAGAGAATCGAGTACATCTTCCTTCCAGCAGATACACCGGCCAACCACTTGATGATATACTCAGTGAGATTCCAATCACCCGAACACCAGTTATCCTGAATGTGAGAGAAGATAAATTTAACCGCGAGGTGAATTGTAGACTCAAAGGTGGATATCAGACGCAAGACGTGGAGGAATCCCGGGAAGATATTTAGATAGAGTTAACCAGTTAAGGATCTGAAGATTCGCTGTTTATGGAGATCACAGGTTGCATTACATACATCGGTATTTTCGACCATAAACCACTTGTAGATGTTGAACTCGGTCTTTTGAGAGGGTCCTTGTTCAGGTTGTGTGTAGAATGCCTTCGTGATTGGATGGATAAGCTTACCAATATTTTTGTCAATAATGTGTTTCAAACTTTTACTATCCGGGTCCCACCAGAAAACCCCATGAGGATCTGCACAGGGAATGAAATAACTGCAAAAATACCTCTTGGCTTGATCAAGATCACTCATACTCTTTGCAGCGTTAATGAGCCGTTTAAGCTCATCAATACTAAAAGCCTTTTTCTGTTCACCGAACTTGGTGATAACTTGATTTTGAGTGGTCATTTTTTCGTTCTATCAAATCGAGTACTAATTTATAGTTACCTAATCTTTAATTGCCGAATATATTTTTTCCAAAGATCCGCGCTCCTACCCGGTTACCCTCCTG